ATGCGGGGCTCGATCCCAGGACCCTGGGATCATGACCTGAGCTGAAGGCAGACGCTTAACGACTGAGCCACCCAGGCACCCCCAGACAAGCTTTCTTAATATGCTCCTCCTCTGGGTTTGTTTTTATTTTTGTTTTTTTGATTTGTTTTTTTTTATTTTGTTTTATTGTTGCTATTGCTGTTCACTTTTCACTGCAGGTGTAAGGCATTCTGACTTATGGGTATATCTCAGCCTCTGTTCACTTTTCACTGCAGGTGTAAGGCATTCTGACTTATGGGTACATCTCAGCCTCTGCACTCTGGGCAGCCTCCAGGCTTTGTCTCCTTTCTCCTAAGCCCCATGCAGCTTTCAGTGAAAGGAAGCTCAAGTCCATCAGGGATCAGCAGACTCTGTCAGGGTAGGCGCTTACATCACGGTTCTCTTGCCTCTTTGCCTCCCCCCCCTTTGGATTCATTTTTCCCTTTAACTTTTGTTTACCTTTAAGGCATATTTTTACTTTGCTGGCAACATAGCAATGCATTTTTTTTTAATTGTATTCTACACTTTTTTGTTATTTTTTTCATTAGTAGATTTATTTAGAACATCTCCATTTTTTTTGAAGTTGTTGGAATCTTTCACTTTAGATGCTTCTTTTAAATAGAATAAATTTATATTTTGCTATGTGTTCCAATCTAAGAGTCATTTTCTCTTAATAGGTGAGTATATCCCATTTACCTTCATTGAAAGTTTATTAAAAAGGGGGGGCACCTGGGTGGCTCAGTCAGTTAAGTGTCTGACTCTTTTTTTTTTTTTAAGATTTTGTTTATTTATTTGATAGAGACAGAGAGAGCACCCAGAAGTAGGCAGAGCAGCAAGCAGAGGGAGAGGGAGAAAAAGGCTCTCCGCTGAGCAAGATCCCAGGACCCTGGGATCATGACCTAAGCCGAAGGGAAATGCTTAACCACTGAGCCACCCACGTGCCCTGGTGTCTGACTCTTGATCTCACAGACATGAGTTCAAGCCCCGCATTGGGCTTCATGTTGGGCGTGGAGCCTACTTAAAAAAAAAAAAAAAGTTTTTAAAAGTAGTTTGTAAAGGAAAACATTTGTTCATGAAAATACAGTACATTCTGTACTAGTATCCAATAGGAAATTACAAATTCTGGATATGTGAAACTATTTAACACTAAAAGAAGGTAACATCTCATTATCTTATAGAAATGTATTAGTATCCATGAAAGCTGGTGTAAGCAGGCAACAAAATGCTCCAATATACAAATGCATGGGAAAATAAAACCCCACACCTTAATATGGGAACCATTAAAGCAAATGTGGATATGGTGTTTCAGTGGCTACATAAGTAAGAAGCATGACAAACTGTAAACTAAATCTAAATGAGTTTCTAAAGGATAAAGGCAGAGAAAGCAAATATAATTGTAAAGCAGAACAAAGCAAGTTGCAAAATCCAATGAACTTGAATAAACTTGTAGGTAAACAAATGGCTCCGTAGAAACTGGTACAACAGATACAAAAAAATAACACACGAATGATTTCCAATGTCATGTTTGCTTGTAAAAAAAAAAAAAGCAAATCTTCACTGATAAATATGCACAGCAAGCCACAAAAATGAATTCTGATAGAAACTGGCATTTCAATGAATACCAGAACTATATAACAAGGAAGAGAGTAATTTTAAAGGTATCAGATATATTACATTCTTTATCCTCAAGATCTAGACAATTGTTTCTGCTGGACTCCAGATTATGTACTTCATCTGTGACATTTGCCATCCTGAACAAGTCATCAGTCCTTTAAATTTCAAGCTGTTATTAATAACATTATTAATTCCACTCTTAATAAATTGAACTTTCATCCTACTATGTTCTATTTGCTGTATCTAGCATCCCTCAGGCCCTCTCCTCATGGTCTCCAGTTCTGTATTGTGGGCTCAGCTAGTGGGCATACACAGTTCCACTCAGCAGCCTCTCTCCACACTTACAGCACTAAGTTTGAACTTAATGTTAGGCCAAAGCCTCCCTGGCTTTCAAGCCATGGGTTACTGTTGGTAACGCATTTAAAACTAAATCTTAGAAGGTAAGATTCTATGACTTGTTATTTTGTGAACAAAACTAGTCCAGTGGGCAGAATAGGCATCCTTACTGGGATATCCTGGGTTGGTACATTTTGTTCTTAAAAGGTGGCACATCACTTTTTGTGCTTTGGGACATACTGATCACTGCAGCTCACCCTGGATTCCTTATGGATATACCCCTTGCCATTCTCGCTCTAGGTGGGGCCTAATCTTTTCAACAGTGCATGCGTACAATGAACACAAGGTAGTTTTCACGTTTGTTTTTTTTTTAGGGGAAAAAAATGTTTTAAATATGGTATATGTTAGGTCCTGAATTTTATATGCTTATTTATCTATTCTTTGTAGTTAGTTTATGATGTAGGTTCATGACGTTTCATCGAATTTCTAAGGTGCTCTTGACTGTAAGACATCATTTGATACACCTCTGAGGAAGAAAAAAAAAACACTGATAAAGTAGAACATGCCATCTCAGTCTAGAGATATCAAAATGCTTTTTAAAGTGTATTTTAGAATTGATACAACTTAGCATCTTCCCATTTTAAAAATGAAGTAACTATGGCTAAGAGATGTTAAATATCTTATGGTCACACATGGTCTGTGGCAGAGCCAGAATATGAATCTTAACTGGGTGACACCAGACTATATTTCACACCGAGAATCTTAAAACTGTATGTCCACTTTTAACAATATCTCTTAGCTAGTGTTGTCCCTAAGATTCAAGCCCAAGGACCTACTGATGTAGTGGAGAGTTGGGTTCCATAGAGTATGGAATGACAAACAGTATACCATGGTTGTATGACAGGCAGAGTTGCCTCATGGTTATGAGTATGTGCTCAGATCCAAGCTGTTTGGGTTCAAGTCCTGGTTCCACTGCTTACTAAGTATATGACCTACAACATTTTATTTAACTTCTCAGTCTTTCCGTTATCTATAACATGAGAATTAGAATATCCATCTCCTGATGTTATCTGTCTCCTGGTTATTATGAGAATCACACCAAATAATACAGATAAAGTTCTTAGAACTGTATCAGGCACAACATAAACGCAGTGAAGTATTAGTTTTTACAGCTATCCAAGGCATTCGGTATAAGCTCTTTATACAACAGAGAAACATTACATCACTGGTAAACCTTTTAACCAATAGCTGGCAAAATAAAGTTGAAAATGATACTAAACCCAAGGCAAGAACTGCAATAGAAATTTGCATTTATTATTAATGGAGCCCAGATGATAGTGCCACTCTCAGATTTTTTCCTAGGTTGGAAGTTTTTACTGTGTTTCCATCTAACCATAGAGCGTAGGAAATGAAAAATATCTGTGGGCTCTTGAATGAGCCATGTGTGACTATTTGGAACAGTGACGTATGCAATGAGACAATGCCTTTTGCTAACTGATTTGAGAAGAACAAGCAAGTCGAAGAGGCCTGGGTGAGAAAAGGGAAAGCAACGAGTCATCATCACTAAAAGATGTGCGTATGGGATAGGTAGGTAGGTATGTGACACGATTTGTATTAAAATGACCTGAGCCGAAGGCAGTCACTTAACCAACTGAGCCACCCAGGCGCCCCAAAAATGTCACTCTTGAAGCAGTGTGATGAGTAGACTGGAAGACAGAGACAGGAAACAGGTAAACCATTGGATGGCCTATTGCAGTTGGTACCCAGTGGTGAAGCTCTAACCTAAGGAAGTGGCAGCAAGGAATGAAAGAATAGACAGAACCTAGATATAGAAGATACTTGTTTTTGTTATTTATTCCATGTAACAAATCACCCCCAAACTTAGCTTAAAACTGCAAACATTTATTAACTCATGCAGTTTCTGAGAGTCAAGAATCCAGGAGCAGCTTAACTGGGTGGTTCTGGCTCAAGTGTTTTATAAGGTTCCAGTCAAGTTATTGGCCAGAGCTTCACTCATCTCATGGTTCAACTGGGGCTAGAGAATCAGCTTCTAGGTTCACTTACATAGTAGTGAGCAGACCTCAGTTCCTTGCTGGCCATTGACCAGAAGCTTCAGCCTGCTTCCTCTGGAAAGAGAAAAAGAAAGAATGTGCCAGAGCCCAAAACAGAAATCATAGTCTTTTAGAGCAACCTCAGGAGTGACCTACCATCCCTTTCTGTATGCTAGTCGTCAAAAAGACCAGTTCTAGTACAATGTAGGATGGGACCAGCCACTTAAAACACTTCAAACTTAGCATCATAAAATTTGTTTACTCTTTCTAAGAGCAAATAGGATCACAGTCTTTTTTTTTTTTTTTAAAGATTTTATTTATTTATTTGAGAGAGAGAATGAGCTAGAGAGAGAGAGAGCATGAGAGGGGGGAGGGTCAGAGGGCGAAGCAGGCTCCCCGCTGAGCAGGGAGCCCGATGCGGGACTCGATCCCGGGACTCCAGGATCATGACCTGAGCCAAAGGCAGTCGCTTAACCAACTGAGCCACCCAGGCGCCCAGGATCACAGTCTTTTTTTTTTTAAGATTTTATTTATTTTGGGGGCGCCTGGGTGGCTCAGTCGTTAGGCGTCTGCCTTCGGCTCAGGTCATGGTCCCGGGGTCCTGGGATTGAGCCCCGCATCAGGCTCCCTGCTCGGCGGGAGGCCTGCTTCTCCCTCCTCCCCTCCCCCTGCTTGTGTTCCCTCTCTCGCTGTCTCTCTGTCAAATAAATAAACAAAACCTTTTAAAAAAAAGATTTTATTTATTTTTGAGAAAGAGAGAGAACGAGCACAAGCAGAGGGAGGGATAGAGGGAGAAGCAGGCTCCCCGCTGAGCAGGGAGCCTGACGTGGACTCAATCCCAGGATCCCAGGATCATGACCTGAGTCAAAGACGCTTAACCAACTGAGCCACCCAGGTGTCCCAGGACCAACCACAGTCTTTTTAATGTTCTATCCAGAATGTGACCTACAGAAATGTGAGGTAATAACCAAGTGTTGAGTTAAGCCACTAAGTTTTACTAATTTGTTAAGTAGCAATAGAAAACTTAACTTTGCGATGATTTCGTGGAAATGGTACATTCAACCTACATTTTCTTTTCCTTTAGTCTCTGAATTTCTTCTTTAAAAAGCTGCCCAAGGTGGGTGCCTGGGTGGCTCAGTTGGTTGGGCGACTGCCTTCGGCTCCGGTCATGATCCTGGAGTCACAGGATCGAGTCCTGCATCGGGCTCCCTGCTCAGCAGGGAGTCTGCTTCTCCCTCTGACTCTCCCCCCTCTCATGTACTCTCTCTCTCATTCTCTCTCTCAAATAAATAAATAAAATCTTTAAAAAAAAAAAAAAGCTGCCCAAGGTCTTTTAAGTTCTTTCAAATCATAATCAGAAGACTCAACTATTTCTAAGCCCCCATTATTAATGATAATTGAATTAAAGGCT